GATTCATTTTCATAGTGTAATGGCATGCTCAAGTGAGGTGTAGGATATAAGCAGGATTTCTCTAATTAAAAAAATTCTCCCCCTGATGCTGATGTTATCACCCTGAGGCAGGTGTAATTTATGGAGCAGGAATTTAACCAATACATCAAAGTCCTGATAATTTTAGTTGTCTAGTATTACACCACGACCACCATAATCAAAAACACACCTCACGGGCATGTTTCCCCACAGATAATGAAAAATAGGGACACAGTTTTCTGTATCCCCTTGTTTATCAGTGATCTCTTAAAATATCCATGATAACATCTTTGAAAAAGATTATAGAACTTCAGCTTCTGAAATAACACTCTGAGTGACTGGGAAAAGATGCTGTCATTTGGTGTGAATTCATTATCAATCCCTTCAAAACAGTGAATTGCCCAGTCAATCAATAACAGCTGTTTGGTAGCTCTCTCTCTCTCTCTCTTTGTGTGTGTTGTGTGTGTAGGGATGTGACCAACAGATGCCTTTGTTGTCATTTCCCTCACAGTTGTTGGGCAAAAGATGACTTTGCCAGGTAAGTGTAGAGCAGCATGGCAGGAACACCTGAGAGCAAAAGAGGTTATATGGCCAGCCCTGCCATTCAGATGGCACCATAGGAGATAGCCAAGCTTGGAATGAGTTACAAGTGACATAGTTACCTTTAATTAATTATTTGTGAACGAGGGTGCAGGAATCTAATAAAGAATTAAGGAACTGCTGAGTAGTTCAGTGGTTTAGCGCTCTGGCTGCAGAGCAGAGTTTGGGAGTTCATTGCCCACAGTGCTTCCTTAACAGGGGCTGGATGATCCCTTGCGGGTCCCTTCTACCTCTGCAGTTATAAGATGATGATGATGATAACATATCAAAAGTAACAGTGAATAGAATTGAAGTTAAATTTTATGTGGTAATATTTTCTAGTTTCTTTCAGGAGTATCTTTTAAACAAAGGACACATGTAAACATATTTAGAGGAATTTTGACAGGAATTTTTCAGTATTTCTGCCATTTGCATATCAATTCTATATTTGTTTACCCAAATAAATTAATGGAAGGCAACATAAAGCAATGAGCAAGCAGTACAGTAAATAACACAATATGTTACTTTTTTGTCATTGTGATGAGTAATAATAATGGTTTTGTTTTCAAAATTGTGAAGTGTTGCAGCAACAAATTACTTTTAAAAAGTAACTTTCCGAGATTTGAGAGGGGGATTAAAAAGGGGGAACCAGCATCGCAATGAGTAAGCAGGGTTTTTGAAAGAGATAAGTCCTGTCAGTGCTTGGACATTACTTCAGCAGCAAAATTGGGGAGAAGGAACGCTGTCATTGATTACTGAGATTATAGAATTGGACTTGGGCTGGATGTGAGACCCAGGCTGAAATCCCCCAGTCAGCCATGAAACTCAGTGGGTAATCCTGGACCAGTCATCATCTCTCAGCTTAATGTGCCTCACCAGGTCATTGTGAGAGGAGTGGGAAAGAATGATGCAGACTGCTTTTGGATCTTTTAAGGAAAGATGAAATATAAATGTAATAATAAAAAAATAATGCAGATAAGCCAAGTTTCAGCTGTTGAGAATGAATATAAATTTCCTTCTTTTTTGTAAATTTCCACAGTTAATTTATCTACATATGCTATATTTATGAATTCCAACCAACATTGCTTCTGTTTTCCATCATCTCTATCAATTTATTTTTGCAGCTGTTGAGAACCCTGGAATCAATAATCTTTTCTTCTAGTTGTAGTAAAGTCTATGATATATGGATAGATATGACATTATTTATGGTATCTAATACTCTGGGAGGCTAACAAAATCATCATTATAACATCAACAAATAATAAAACAACAGTAATACTCTAATAAAACATTCCTCAAAAGGAACTAAATCACTAAATACAAAGCAAAAAAATTGTTTATCATCATCACTATCACTATCACAATAATAAAGAGCCAATAAGCTTAAGAAGAGTAAGAAAGTTAACTGGAAATAAGGGCTAGAGAGTTGTCTTAAATGAAAAATCAAAGAGTATTACAGTGACACAGAAAATGATTATTAACAGATGGAGAAACTGAAATTATTTTAGTGAATATCTGTCAGGTTGGGAAGAGAGGTTAAACATGGCTGCAGTGGAACTGTATTTCTTGAATTAATGGAAACAATAGTTATTCCTGTTGTGGGCTTTTCAAACCAAAACACCCACACTTCCCAACCCCCACTACTCTGTGTCTTTCTATCTGTCCATCTATGTATCTAACATGAAAGAACTAGAAAAGAAGAAATGATGGCTAATTAATTAATTAATTAATTTTAAAAAATTAAAACATTTATAGCCTGCCCTACTGTATATCAAGGGATCTCAGGTCAAGTTACAAAGCTGTAGAAATAATTTAAAAATATAAGATATTTTAAACAATTTAAAATTAATAAATTTAACACACAAAATCAAAGCATTCAAACATTAAACACATTTAAACTATTGCAATAAACCTGCACAATGATTTTAGTGTTTCTTTCTGTGCAATGGTTTCTTAGCCTACCTTAAACTATGCACAAATTATACATTTTTTTAAAAAAATCATTAAACAAGGACAGATGAATAAACATAAAATAAGCATGCACGAGGAGATACAATTTATTATGCAGGTATTTATAGCTTTCAGACACAAGGAAAATTTTTAGTGACAGATAATGATCCTTGCTTCTTACATATGTAGATTCCAAACAGTGCATTCAGAGCTGATTAAACAGGCGAAGGTTATTGCAAATGATGTCACTATAGTCTCCACAGTCTTAAGTAGATACCACAGATATATGTTTGGAAAAACTTCATTGTCTTTAATTTTAAAAAAACCAGGAGCATTTGGATTACAATTTACTTACCCACACATTCTTTTTCATCCATCTGTATAATGGATGCTCGCAGCATTTAATGATGTTAATTATTTATAAATTTATCTCCTTTGTTTTACTATATCCAAATCAACCATTTCACAACACATTAAAGCAACATTTAAACAATAGAACAATACATATTTAAAAAACAGCAAAAGGACAGTTAAAAGCAGCTTATCCAATATTTTTAAAACCTAGGAAAATGAGAACAGGGATCTATTAAAATAGTAACTCATTTCAGACTGATGGGCTTTAAAGCGAGTGGATTTGAATACTTATTAATCTTGGGAGATAGTGTCATTAAGGTGGGACAACTGAGACATCTCACCTCCTGAGAAGGTCCTGTCTCTGATGTCCACTAGAGATTGGCACAAACCTTCCCCTGCCTTCTCCAGGCAATTGCACTCACCACCAGAATGCTTGCCTCCTTTGTCTGCTCAGGTGATCATCCCCTCTGGTAGCAGCACACATCCCTCCATCACCTCCTCAGACAGTCACCCACCCAGAGGCAGTGCCATGGGCTTCCCTGCTCTGCCTCCTCATTTGAGTAGCTGCTGGAGGAGGCAGAGGAGGGAAGTGTACTGCTGCTGGTGAGTGGGCCACCTAGAGGAGGAGGGGCATGGAAGCAAATGACACTTGTGGAACACCTGCACAGGTGTTGTGCCAAACCATACCAAACTGCTGAACCAGAGTTTACACCCATCTCTAGTGTCCAGCTATCTAGCTGATTGTAAGGGCACAGCAGTGAGGCAAGGAAAACAGGCAAAAACTTTACTAAAACACATAGAACAAGCTTTGTAGAAGACAAAACTGCTTTGCTCCTGCCTTGTCTTCCACTGTGCATGTATAATTTTTGGTTTTCTTGCCACCATCTTTCTGCCCCTCACCAGCAGACCTCTCGGAAATGGAAAGTACTTGAAAGAGATCTAAGGATTTTTTTTCTGCTACTTTTTATTAGGGAACAGTAGAGAAAATAATACAAAAAAATCTTATTTTTGGCAGTTCACATAGTCTTGCCATGCTGAGGTGTCTCTCTGTATCAGTTAAATTTTCCAACTTCCTGTGAAAATGGGACCCTTAGTCTCATTTTTCTTTCTTTTCCTCAGTTTTGCCTCTTTTATTATGCAAGAAACATACCAAATTCTGCACAGCTCAGAACCCCTTTCAGAACTGTAATAATTATGTGCAGGTTGGCATTTTTCCCAGAAAAAAAATGTCCACAATATATCCAAGAAATACAACATGGTTTCCTTTTCCCCATAGTTTCTTGTCAAGAACAAAAGGCTACAACACCCACAATTTCAAGGCATAAGTAAATTTTCCCTACTTCAGAATATTCCTTCCCTGTTGCTACAGAGCTGATTGATGAGGAAGGAGATTAATCAGTGGCACATCTACTCTAGTTGGAACAGTGATTGCCCATGAGGTACCTTTGTCACATTTCCAGGGGTTTTAACAGGCAAAAGTCCAATAAACCAGTCCAATATCAGAAGTCCACAAGATACAAAGCAGATACCAAAATGCCAGAGCCAAAACACAAACCATAGTAAGAAGTAAGAGTCCAAAGCCAAGGGTCCAAAAAACAAGGTTGAAGATGAGCGGGAACATGGATGCAAGCCAGAGTGTTGACTTGTTACTTCCACAATCTTGCAAGCCTCTGGGTGCAGATTTGATAGCAACAGCAGTCATCTAAACACCTCGTCCTGCTCAAACTCAGGGCTGGTCGACTTGATGTTCCTATGGGAAGCATTCATGGGGGCTTCGGATCTTCGTGTCATGAGTCCTTGCCGAAGCTTCTCCCATACTCTGGCTACTGGGGAAGGAGAATCTGGTGGTGATTCAGCTGTCTGTGATTCTAACTGCCCAGCATTCTCCTCAGCTGTAATTAACCCCTCAGATTCCAGATCTTCTTCAGCTGAACTCATGAGATCCTTTAGGAATGTAATGCATATATTTCCTTTAAAGTTGATATTGTTCCTTGCTTTTCAGTGCCTAATGAAAAAGACACTTCACAAATACTCTTTTGATACTAGCAGAGTGAAGCATGACTTTCAGAGCAAAATTAATGACAATTATATATTTTTAGTTTTCTTGACAGAAAATACCATGGATCATATTTCTCTTAGAAAAATGACTGGGGAACCAACAAGAAGAGCAACTGTTAGTGCTCCACCTATCCTAACAACTTACATGGACAGTAAACATAATGAAGTCACCCAGAGAGCAATGTTGCCTAGCAAGATGGCTTCAGAAGAAATATCAGACAGACTGACAACAACCCCATGCCTAGATGTATGTCAGCTTCCAAGGAGTCTAATGTCAAGCCCTCAGAAGAAGAGGTCTGAATCTCAGTTACTGCTGCATGGAAGGGGAAAATGTGAGATACAGATTGATATACATATATAATGTAGACAATGTAAAATAGACCTTCTGAGCTCATTGTGATGCTCTGGTTCACCTGGAATCCTTGATGGAGATAAATGGTATTGTCTTAACATATGCAAGCAATACATATGCCTCAAAAGCCACCATCCTTTCTCTAGCGTGTTCAACAATTTACATATATAGGGATGCATGAAAGTATGTATTGCTCAATCTCCCTACTTTTTCAAGTGATGTGACCACCCATAATTGGGGGCTGGCTTCACTGTTTCATTTGGATACAAAATCAATGGTAGGGATGTGTTAGAGTCTTCTCTCCAATGAAATTCTAGGTGAGACGGGCCACCTATTAATTTAGCTTCAGAACAGGTTTTTTTAAATTATAGAATAATAATTAAAAGCACTTGTTAACTTTGAACAAACCTACATAGAAGCAGACTTTTACAGAAGCATGATTTAGCAATAGTAATGACTTGTAGAAAAAAGTATTTTCTTTATGGATCATAAATGTATTAATGGAAATTATTGTTATAAGATGATGTATGAGTTTGAGTTCCTGGTGCTATGTAATGGAGCCTTGGCAGATTCATCCACTGTTGGTAAGCAAACTGCCATGTCAGCACCAGCAAAAAAAAAATGTGTTTCTTGAAGATTGTAGCTTGTGAAAAATAGTTTGAAAATGTCTGGACATTTTCCTAGACATGTCCTAGAAGACATCCTAGAAACAGTCTGTTGGAAGAGAACTTGCTGAAAGATCACTTTGGAACATAGGGGAGAAATCACTGGCAACATAAATCACTCCCTTTTATCACTATAAACTTTGTAAGCTTTAGTTAAAGTTTTTTTTTGCAAAGTTTTGATATCAATTTTGGTATGAAGTTACTATAAGTTTTGAGTACCAAGCATTCTTTCTTGGCCATGAATTTTACCATTGCTTGGCCTTTAGCATTCTTTCTTGGCCATGAATTTTACCACCTGGGTAGACATAGTGAACAGTAGATGTACTTTAGGGAATGCTCAGTTGGTAAACTGAAAATATGTCTTCTACAGGGAGAGTGGTTCGTGTGTAGCCATCAAGGCAATGCATGTTATTTTGGATAAGGTTACATTATGGGAGTCAAAAGGCGTGCTCTGGTCCATGGGGTCACGAAGAGTCGGACACGACTAAAGGACACAATGAATCATGCATGCTTTAAAGATATGCTAAATGCTTGTTCTTCCTATAAAGCTGAAGTACTAGCCGCACTACTGCAGAAGGTTAAAGTAACAATGAGAGAGGACCATAAATCACTACATGTGGGAGAAATGACAAATTTCAAGGAGAAGCCTCTTGAGTAACATTGTTAATTTATGTAGCATGTCTTTCTTTCTTTCTTTCTTTCTTTCTTTACTTTTTATTTACACAATGATGGAAGTTCTCCAAGTGGATTACAAAAAAACTGGAATGATAAAAAGCAATATAAGATTCAGTGCAATACAAAGTAGCAAAGCAAAGTATGTTTTTAAAAATCAAGCTGCTGTTAAATTTTATATCTAAACATTTAAGATGCCAGGAAGCTCTTTGTCTAGTGAAAATTTAATAGTGCAGGTGCCAAGTGAATCTTCTTGGGAAGAGTTTTCAACAGGTGAGGTGCCACATAATTGAGAAGACCCTCTCAGATGTAGCCAACTAACTGTCTACTGGTGGTAGCTGGTACTTGTTGAGACTGGTAGAGTGGGGTGCCAATATAGTTTATTTATTTTATGAAAGGGAAGCCAAAGCAGCTAAGATATTTTGGCTTCGTTTCTTTCCTCTTTCAATACAATCACATTACATACCCCTAATATGTCATATGGAAATGTACTGAAGAGTACATCTCCCTGAACTACAACTGATTATGTAGGCTTCCCTACTATCATTCATAAGTCTCTGCTGCAGGAGAATGCAATCTCTGCCACCCTTTCTAGCCAGTGGGCAGATGCCACTACCTAGCTGATCCAAATGGCCAAGCCTCCATAACCACCCAATTAATTTCCTTTGGAATCTTGAGGAGGTCCTTGGTGACAATTTCCTAGGTATATATAGGACATGTTCTTTGAGATACCCTGACCCTAAGTTTTAAACAGGATATGTGAATTGCCAAGGCATTTATAAGAAAGAATTTTTTTAAAAAATTAAACTTTGATACCTTTGTTGTTGTTACATGCTGTCAAGTTGGAAATTACTTCTAGCAGCCCTAATAGGGCTTTCAATGTATGGCAAGCACCTTTGTTGGGACCAATCAAAATAATAAGATTGTTGGAGCTTTTGAATATGCAAGAACACTTCACCAGGCTAGATACTACAAAAAATTAGGAATGAGAGAAGAAAATGTTAATTTCCAAAAGCTGGCTGAGTATTGTAATCTTTAGATTTACAGATTTATACTAATGTCCAACGTGGAGAGTGCAGACTGAGTGAAGAAGAATTAGGTCTGAAGGCACCAGTTTATGATTGTGTTGTCTGCTGAAATGCATACATAGTTAATGTCTGATTTTATTTCTGAAGACAAAAAGCATCTGACATTCCTTAATGCCTTGATCAAAGCACAAGGGTTTGTGAGTCAACTGAGAGCAGAGGCATGGAGAAAAATGGCAGCTTTTATATCAGGAAAGCAGGATGTCATACAGATCTTGGGGCATAGAGGAATACTTGCTAGATGCAGTTAAAAATAATATAGAAATCCATTTCTAGTTAATAATGTGTGTGTATATATAAAACAGACATTAGAGCTTTAGGTCAAAGAGATGTACATATGAGAAATCTAATTGATTCTTCCCCCAACAGACTTAATTGTCACAGGTGAGAGAAGAAAACAAATCTATATGACAAAAGGAAGAAGACACCACACACACACATATGAGATGGGCACGAACCTTGGTTTGGAGGTTTGTGCCAGTATATACACCAGTATGTATGTGTTCCCTTCCTCCATCTCACCAGCTGGATTCCCCTATTCATCAGCCAGTGTATGCTCCTCTCCTCCTCCTCTTTGGCTATTCAACCAGTATCTAGCAGGAGCACAGGCTTCCCTGCACTGCCTCCTTGGCTGATCACTCACTCAGACAAGAAAGCAGGACAGGCAAATCCATGCTCCTGCCAGGGACTGGAGGAGGAGACAAGCACGTGCTGGCTGGTGAGTTGCTAATTAGCCAGGGAAGAGGGGGAAGGGAATACATGGCACTTGTGGTTCATGTCCATTTCTGATAAATATATAGAGTTTAAAATATCTCTTTCCAAATCATCCTTTAAAAAAAGAAATTTGTATAGATATTGCCCTTGCTCTCCCTGTTTGGGAACAGAAAAACAGTTTACTCACTCAGAAAAGCCAGGAAGATGATGGCTGCTGCCAAGAAGACACCAACCACCGGCTGATTAGAGATAAAGGGTGGGGCTAGTAAATGTTAGATACCTACTAGAAGTAGAGAGGAGCATTCTTGCCATGGTTTCCAGTTTAGTTACTCTACTACATGTGGAGAAGGACATGTCTGAGGAGGAGAACAACCTCTTCACGAGAGCATTCCATATAACTCTGAACCTTGGAAAATTAGTGTCCTGACTCAGCTGAAGGATCCTCATAGATAGTGAAGGCTTTCAACTATAGATTGGGCAATTTTCCCATATGGAAGAGGAATTGAAAATAGATTAATTTATTTAATTTATTTAACTTATATGCCACCCACACTACCCAAAGGTCTCTGGGCAGCTTACAACAATTTAAGTACATTAAAAAGATAAAAACAAATAAAATGCAATTAAAAATATGGTGCTCTAAAAATTGCCATCAGGACCCACAGTTGATATTATTTCAATTAAAAACCTTCTGGTACAGGAAGGTTTTGACCAGGTGCCCAAATGTTATCAACATCGGCGCCAGACGAATCTGACTCAGGATGGTGTTCCATAGTCTGGGGGCAGCTGCTGAAAAGGCCCTTTATCTACAAGAGGGGATGGCTCTTTCAGGAGTGCCCCTTGGCTAGGTCTTAATTGCTGGGTAGGTTCATATGAAAGGAGGCGGTCCTTCAGGTATCCAGGGCCCAAGCTGTTTAGGGCTTCATATGTCAAAACAAGCACTTTGAATTGGGCCCGGGCAGCAACTGGCAGCCAATGTATGGTTTCCTAACAACTGAGTAAGACAGCGGTTTAAAAGAGTTTTTTTTCCAGCAAAGAAAGGAAGAAAAATGTGAACATGACATGACATTACATGATGACAAAGAGGAGAAGCTCATCTGGGAAGACAACTGTTCAGAACTCTCCAGGGGAGCTATGGGGGAAAACATTTTAAGGGATGGGCAGGATGCTGCATGGGTCCAGGAGCAGTGATTCCTCCACTTATTGTTTAGTCAGGGTTCTCTGGACTATAGATGGGCAGGATCCTCAGAATTCCCAAGAGCAGTGATTAGAAACATTTCCAGTGGCACCAATGTGTTAATGCCAAATTGTTAAGGTGAACTAATTTGGTGATTATCAGATGTTTAGAAATTTAACTTCTTGGTTCATTGTTTCATTAATTTGCTACTTTGTTAACTTCTCTGAGTTAACTGGAATGCAATGCCCCTTTCAGGTGTAAAATGGACACAGAGATTTTCATTAGCAAGCATTTTAGATGTGGCTTAGAGACATCATGGTAAATTAATCTGCAGTGTCCTAAACATACTGAAACAGAAGTGCATGATACTTTTGGTGTAATTTTCCAACCAGAATTCTTTCCCTTCTGTGTGGGAAGAGAACAGAAGGAGGTCCCCCCCATTTTTTTCATGAATGGAAGTTGTCAAAGGCTCCAGAATTTCCCCACCTTCTCTGTCTTGGATCTTTAAAAACACAGACTTCCTGCTTGCATAGCTGGTAAACCCTACTCAACTGGCAGTTTCAATCCAAAATTAATAGTGTATATAATTAATTCTATGTGAATTGCTTCCACTGATATTAAATATTCAAACATCTGAAAGTCAGAAAGAAAATGTACACTCCATTGCTTTTGGTGAAAGTAGTATATGCACTTCTTTTATTATTTCCAGTTGTTTTAATTATACTTCCTGTCTTTCTACTTTTCATAGACAAAATGTGGCTAAGTGATGTATACACAAGAATTGGATCACTGAGTAGAGCTATGGAACAAGAGAAAAGTCAACAAAAGCAATTTACTGGGTAATATTATATCTACACTTTGGGATAAAAATTAATATGTAATCTTCATGTCCTTTTTTGTTTGTTCCTTTTCAAAATGGTCCTTAGATCTGGTAAGGTATATGTTATAATTTCACAAGATTATTCATCTATATTTTCAGTTTTTCAACAATAGAATTCTATTATATATGGTATAGGTGGTATAGTTCAGTGGGTTGGAGGACCTGGATAGGAGATCAGTTCCCCAATGTACCTTTGGGGAGAGGGACCAGCAAGCTCAGCTGAAGCAAGTATGGCTGATGGGATTATGTGCTCTGCCACTGCTATAGCTTTTGGCAAATGGTAGGGTCCTAGAGTGCAACCCAAAGAAAAGTCTTGTAAACAGCCTTTGACTACTTTGCACCTAAAAAGCACCGAGAGGGTCACCATAATTTGGAATCAACTTGATGGCACAGATTTATTATTTATTTATTGTTGTTAGAATTATATTAAATACACAAAATGAAATTTTATTTGACATATATACATCATTTACTGAATTATTTTGTTTACATGAGGATTCCCTTTATTTATATGCCTTCTCAAAATTAAGTCCCATTAAACTTAATGGGACGTACCTCCAGGTAAATGGAGATAGACTTAAAATGTGTATATCTCACCACATTTCTGTTAATATCAATCCTTCCAGGCAGCCAAAAATAAGAAATAATAACAGTAAAAAAAGATAAATTTGACGAGTACATGTGATAAACATCCATGGGGAGAGTGTTCTATATGTGAATGCCATACCCCAAAATGAATTGTTCATAAAGACTTTTATATATGGGTGGCTCATAACTGGAACAGGGGATGCCAAACTTTCCAAAGAAAAAGCCCCATTGAACTCAATGGGTCTTACTTTGGAGTAAACACACATAAAAACTATTGCTATTTGAATCTTCTGTTTAAAACCTGCTCCAAATGTCCCTGCTTCAGAATATTAAATGTCCATAACTGGATAAGTGGACAACTCCAAACTTTGGGGTGAGGCATCCCCTGTTCCAGTTATGAGCCAGTTTATTTATATATATTTATATATATGTGTGTGTATGTGTGTGTGTGTGTGTGTGTATATATATATGTTCAGTGATAACTGTTGGAAGCTTGATCACCCTACAGATGGACCTTGATACCCTCTCTCACTACCGTTCCCAACAGGGTAGTTATCCTATATCTTTGATCAAAAAACATTACAATTCTTCTCTTTGGGATGGTTATCCTCTTCCACGGAATGTGCAGCTTTGGGAGAGATGTCCATGGAGCGGTGAGAGAGGAGAGGCACATTCGTCTAGCCAGCCAGATCAGCTGACTCAACCATGGTGGTCAATGGGGTCATGATGTCACAGCCAAATTGCCCTCACACCTGATAGTGCTTGTCATAAATAGCCATTGTAATTTCCCAAATTCTGCCAACCTGAAAATGATAGATATCTCTTAGACCTCTTAATGACAGCACAATAACGTGAATGTTTAAACTGTGAGAGTTTTAAAAGATGTTGTTCTTCCAGTTATTTTGACTGTGATTTCTACTAGGCACTGCCTATAACAAACGTTAAATGCACAAATTGTTGTAAGCAAAGTTACTGAGCACAGTGACAAAAAGTTTTTATTCACAAGACACTCATAGCCATCTGATGTACTAACAAGTGCCTGACCAACATCATTAGATTTTTCTAAAAGAGACATAATCAGTATAAAACAGTTGAAGATGTGGGGGTGTGTGAGAGAAATATTCAGAGATACAATAAGTATCCTGGTAGCAATTTGTTTCCTACAGCATGCTCATCAGTTGCATAAATTCAAGAACTGAATTATCATGGCTCCAGACAACAATCTTACAATACTCATTCTTTTATTAGTTCATATTATTTAAAGCTTCCCTTGACAATCTAATTTTCTATGTGGAGGAAGTTATATATGCATGGCATTTATATATGGGACCATTCAAATTAACATTAGGGCTAAGAAGGTAAACTCTAAATGAAAGGACCTGGAAAAACTATTGGGAAAGTGTGTATGCTGGTGCTGACATCCATTTTATTTTTATGGATGCTTTTTATAATTTTTATATTTTATATGTGGAATAGGCCTATCTGTGGAAGGAAGATACCTGCTTCTTTCAGCTTCCTGTGAATTTTAATGTTTCTTCCTCACAGGAAGGACATCTCTCTTACCCTTCGTTCTTTTGCTCTGCCAGTCGAGAACAGGTCAAGAATAGGGAAAATTTAGCCAGTCAGTTTCCTTAGGACCCAGCTAGTATGGTTGGAGGTAAGAGAAAAAGGGAGTCAAAGTCCAGCTGTATTGTGAGACTCTGCACAAAAGATGGGCCACTATAAATGTTGAATTTGGCAGCAGATCCTGGAGGAACAAGTGTTGAAAGAAATCATGTTGCTTACTTTAAATGTCTTATAGTGGTTTGCTGCCAGAATTTGGAATTTTGTTGTTAAGTCATCAAGTCGTGACTCTTCATGACCCCATGGACCAGAGCACGCCAGGCCCTCCTGTCTTCCACTGCCTCCCAGAGTATGGTCAAATTCATGTTGGTAGCTTCGATGACATTGTCCAACCATCTCATCCTCTGTCGTCCTCTTCTCCTCTTGCCTGCACAGTTTCCCAACATCAGGGTCTTTTCCAGGGAGTCTTCTCTTCTCATGAGATGGCCAAAGTATTGGAGCCTCAGCTTCAGGATCTGTCCTTCCAGTGAGCACTCAGGGTTGATTTCCTTTAGAATGGATAGATTTGTTCTCATTGCAGCCCAGGGGCCTCTCAAGGGTCTCCTCCAGCACCACAATTCAAAAGCAACAATTCTTTGGAGGTCAGCCTTCTTTATGGTCCAGCTCTCACTTCCATACATCAGTACTGGAAAAACCATAGCTTAGACTAAGCGGACCTTTGTCAGCAAGGTGATGTCTCTGCATTTTAAGATGCTGTCTAGGTTTGTCATTGCTTTCCTCCGAAGAAGCAGGCGTCTTTTAATTTTGTGGTTGCTGTCACCCTCTGCAGTGATCATGGAGCCCAGGAAAGTAAAATATGTCACTACCTCCATATGTTCCCCTTCAATTTGCCAGGAGGTGATGGGACCAGTGGTCATGATCTTAGTTTTTTTAAAATGTTGAGCTTTAGACCAATTTTTGCACTCTCCTCTTTCACCTTATTACGAGGCTCTTTTATTCCTCCTCACTTTCTGCCATCAGAGAGGTATCATCTGCATATCTGAGGTTACTGATATTTCTTCCAGAAGTCTTAATTCCAGCTTTTTGCATGATTTGTTCTGCATATAAGTTAAATAAGCAGGGGGACAATATACAGCCTTGTCGTATTCCTTTCCCAGTTTTCAACCAATCAGTTGTTCCATATCCAGTTCTAACTGTTGCTTCTTGTCCCACATATAGATTTCTCAGGAGATAGATAAGGTGATCAGGCACTCCCATTTCTTTAAGGACTTGCCATAGTTTGCTGTGGTCCACACAGTCAAAGGCTTTTGCGTAGTCAATGAAACAGAAGTAGATGTTTTTCTGGAACTCTCTGGCTTTCTCCATAATCCAGCGCATGTTAGCAATTTGGTCTCTAGTTCCTCTGCCCCTTCAGAATCCAGCTTGTACTTCTGGGAGTTCTCAGTCCACATACTGCTGAAGCCTGCCTTCGAAGATTTAGAGCATAACCTTGCTAGAGTGTGACATGAGTGCAATTGTACAGTAGTGTTCTTTCTCATTGCCTTTCTTTGGGATTAGGATATAGATTGATCTTTTCCAATCCTCTGGCCATTCCTGAGTTTTCCAGACTTGCTAGCATATTGAGTAACAGAATCATCTTTTAAGATTTTAAATAGTTTGACTGGAATGCTATCTTCTCCACTGGCCTTGTTGTTAGCCATGCTTTCTATGGCCCACTTGGCTTCATTCTCCAGGATGTCTGGCTCAAGATCAGCAACCACACTATCTGGGTTGACTGTGACATTCAGATCTTTGAATTCCAAGGCCAAACTTTCCTGTTGTTCCTTTTATCTCTCGACTCCCTACTTTAGCATTCCAATCCGCTATAATGAGAAGAACATCTTTCTTTGGTGTCTGTTCTACAAGGTGTTGTAAATCTTCATAGAAATGGTCAATTTCAGCCTCTTCAGCATCGGTGGTTGGTGCATAAACTTGGATTACTGTCATGTTGAAAGGTCTGCCTTGGATTCATATTGAAATCATTGTATCATTTTTGAGATTGTATCCCAGTATAGCTTTTCCCACTCTTTTGTTGACTATGAGGGCTACTCCATTTCTTCTACGGTATTCTTGCCTACAAAAGTAGATATGATCATCGTCTTAATTGAATTTGCCCCTTCTCGTCCATTTTAGTTCACTGACACCCAGGATATCTATGTTCATTCTTTCCATCTCCTGTTTGACCATGTCCATCTTACCAAGGTTCATAGATCTTACATTCCAGGTTCCTATGCAGTATTTTTCTTTGCAGCATCAAACTTTCCTTTCAATTCCACGCATGTCCACAGCTGAGCATCCTTTGGGCTATGGCCAAACCACTTCATTAGCTCTGGAGCTACTTGTACTTGTCCTTCGCTCTTCCTCATTAGCATGTTGGATGCCTTCCAACCTGAGAAGCTCATCTTCCAGTGTCATATCTTTGAACCTTTTGTTTCTGTGCATGGAGTTTTCTTGGCAAAGATATTGGAGTGGCTTGTCAGTTCCTACTCCCGGTGGATTGCGTTTAGTCAGAACTCTCCACCATGACCTGTCAGTCTTGGGTGTCCCTGCATGGCATAGCCCATAGCTTCTCTCAATTACTCTAGCCCCTTCACCACAACAAGGCAGCAATCCGTGAAGGGGAGAATTTGGAATGGGGAAACTCAAATTTAAACCAAGCCAATGCTTTCAGAATTTCTCCCCAGCTGCCACCAATTAGTCAGTAGATAAAAGACAACCCAAAAAAATTTAAAGTTGGTGTATGAAGCATTTCATTTCAGTTAATCAAACAGGACAGATTTAAATAGACTGAAAGATTTCATTGAAATCAGTGGGATTTAACTTTGGCTGGGTTGTGTTAATTGTGTATGGAATGATTATTGTAAAAAAAATTATAACTTTGAAGCTTGTTCTGTAGAAGTGTGAGTCTCTCAAAACCAAGGTCTTAAATGAACCAGATTGTCCCCCTGCCTCTTTTTTTCTTCCTCAATATGCCCTGCATGACTCCTCTCAAACTTCACTAGCAGGAAATTCTGAGGGAAAAATTAATCTTTCATGAAAACATGTGCATTTGCTTTGACATTTAGCTTCCCTTGCCCTTAATCAGAAAGCATTTTCATGTGAAGTTGCTGCCATGTTTCAACCCTGGCTTTTGCCTTGAATCCTAAGCAAATGAGAAAGTGTTGATGTGCTGTTTCTGGAACAGATCACAAAGCAGATTGGCATCATGGTAGTTATGGGGTTTAGCCCAATTCCACCCACTTTTACAGAAGGCAGTGTCAAAGACAGATCAGACAGCTTTCCATCTTGCAAAGTTATCTGCATTAACAGATAGCTTGTGCAATGAAGAATGGGCAGGTTGTCTTCTTTATTTCCTTGCATAAGCCGCAGTTCAGCTTCCAAAAAGCAGCCTGTTTCAGAAAAAAAAGCAATGTGAACTTTATTTCATTTTTCTTTTCCTTGCAAAACGAATGGCCTGCTTTTCAGTCCCATTAGACTACTGGACGTGGTTGCAGGGTACTGGCTTTTTCAAATGACTCCTTACTGTTCACAAAATGCATCAATTTGGGGAGTACATAAAAATTATATATTTTGTGCCACTATTTCTCCAGAATACATGGCCATGTTTCTTTATTTTTTTGACAGTGTACATTAGTTACCGAAGTAGAAAAATAATAAAAATGAGAAAGAAATAATGGATGTCTGTTTTGTACTTTTAAAATACAGCAGTAACAATTTACTTGGATTGTCCACAAGCAAAGAGAATAAGAATGCCTGGTTTATGAAAAATCATCAGGGTAAATCCTTATTATTTTTAATAGTTATATCTATTGTAAATAACTGCCACTAAAATAAAAATTAGTACACTTTCTTAATCAATTTAAGAATATTTCTAACAGCAGAAGGGATATATCTTTTGTGAACTAGATCTTTCCCCTCATTATTAGAGATAGGCATGAACCATTGGTTTGATGGTTCATGCCGATGTGTTTTTTAGGAAAACAAGTATTTGGCACTTCCCAGGCCCACCTCCTCCGGTGAGCACCCTCTCATGATCAGCACCTCAGCCTCCCTGCTCTCTCCCCCCCTCCGGTGCTGCCTCTGAGTGGGTTCTCACTGGAGGAAGTGGGGCTGGGAAGTGCCGGATATCTGGTCTGCCAAAAAATATGTATGCTGGCACGAACTGCCCAACAACCAGTTCATGCCCATCCCTACTCATTATACATGTTGACACTTTAGGAGAAAAGTCTGTTTCCATCACAAAATGTAATATATCTCTTATATACCATCATAGCATAAGAGTATGAAAAATATACTATTCATAAATTAACCAGATTCTGCTTGTAAATCATAAAATAGAGTTTTAATAGTATTTATAAAACATGCATTTTCTTCAGGCTTGCATTTTAAAAATTTGAATTTATATAAAAAAATAAGTTCAGCTAAGCTTTACTTCTATCCAATCATGACCAAGTAAGAGTTGCATTGCATATGGGTTATATCATGAATTGTCATTGACAGATGTTCAAAATTACTTTTGCTATGTTTGTTTTAACCTCCCCCCCCCATCCTACAGTTTGAAAGACTCTGAAGGGCCTGTCTTTTTACCTGTCATTCAATGCTACAAAGAGCCAGTGAGCAGATCTCTAGCATCTCCCACAAGTGTATTTACTTATACTAAGAATATACGTGGTTATTAACTGGAAAGTAGGGGTTGTTTTATCATGTTTCAATGGAAAATTTTCTAACTCTGCCAGATTTTACGAAACTACAATTATATGTATGTATTTTATATTGATTTGGTTTTACTGGTCTTTGACCGTGATAAAGCATTCATTCATTCATTCACAAGGGTATGGTTTGGATAGAAGGGTTTAAAGGTTATGTGTGTATAATGTGATGGTGATTTTGGTATTCAGTCACAGAAAATGATAGGTTCTTCATAGACACTCAATGGGAAGTGGAGTTGAAAGAGCATTGTGGCGGAGTCATACTGGGTTTTACCATCCTCCTATGTAAGCATTCATAAATGAACACCCAATTGGAAGGAGACCTGAGTCACACAGTCATCTTCCTTTTCTGAGTGGATGGAGTCTCACAAACTGAGCCCTGCAATTAGGTGCTCACATGGAAGATTTTGTTCACATACTGGCAGCTACTTGCCTCATGCTACTTCTTGGTGGTATCTCAGCTAGGCCAAAAGACAGTACAATCCTATGCATGTCTACTCAGTACTCAGTAATATATATTGCATCCACTGGGACATAGTCCCATTTCAGTGGTTTGGGTCTCTGGCTGCAAAGCCAAAAGGTTGGGAGTTCAATTCCTCATTGTGCCTCCTTGCTAGGGAATGGACTTGATGTTCCATAGGGTCCTTTCCAGTTCTGCTAGTTCTGCAGTTCTAAGATGATGATGATGATGATGATGATGATGATGATGATGATGATGATGATGATGATGATGTATCTAGGTGATGGCTTTATTTACTCCATACAATTTAGATTATACCTCACTACTGAGTTTTTATGTCACACACATACACACACAGAGAGCAACCTAAGTCTAGAATGTATTTACTCACTCATAGTATTACATTTACATACTATATATTTGTAAATGTAATACTATGAGCGAGAAAATGCATTCTAGACTTAGGAGACTCTTATCACCTTATTGTGAGATGGCTTCACATTTATAATGAGCCTGAGCTGGAAAATAAATTTTAGTTTTGTAGGACAGTCACAGAACCAGAATCATGCTGGTTTCTGACCTTCTTGGTGCAGAATATGAACAATAATATTGGTACATATGGTGTATATTGGTTAGGTGAATATCAACAAATCCTATTTCGGGCTCCCCCCCTTACTGGGCCGCCCAGCCAGTTACCTCTTTCATCTGACAGACCCAAGGAAAAGGAGGGCTTTCCTCCTCGCTCGTTTAAATATTTTCCCATCTGCCTATCATCTTGGTAGATACTCCAACATCCCCCGACCAAACAGACTATGTACATTCTGCCTCCGTGAACCAGACACAGTAGCCCACATCCTACTTCGTGTCCCATCTCACTCCGCCCTTAGATCTTCCCTACTAAACCCCTTTCTCCAACCCCTCCCTCCCTCCCTCTCTGATCCCCTCCCAATCCTCCTTAGTGATTCCCTCCCAATCACTACCAATCTCGTCGCGGAATTTTTGTCAACCATTCTTATGAGCAACCGCAACCCCCATCCCTCCCAACTTTAGTTCTAACCTGTCCCTTATATTTTCTACCTAGCAACCTGTTTACTTCTTTTTAATGTAATCAAATGCCAATAAAGGTCTATGTATGTATATGTATCAACAAATTTAGGACATCACCAAACCTACATTGCTTCTACTGATACCATGATTTTTCTGTTCTCGACTGTCCACTGTATGTATTGTCAATTTCACATGTATTTCCTATATGTAAAAACATTATGTTAGTTTGACTCTAAAAGGGCTTTAAAGGTAAGGGAAATATTTAAGGAGTGGTTCTACCAGTTCCACGCCTATATCCGGTGAATTTCCATGGATGAGTGGGGATTCAAACCCAGGCCTCCTGAGTCCTAGTCCATCACTCAATCCACTACACCACCCTGGGCATCAAAAAGCACAATGACATATATCTTATTGCCATTATCTCATAAAGTTATGCTTTGAAAAAACACATTAATGGGATCAACATCCAATTTATTGTGACTCAAGGAGCTCATTATTCCCAATATATGCATGCAAATTAATCTGGATATGCAAATCCACTTCCTGTTTTATGTCAAGTCATGTCTTCAGCACTTCCACTGAGTAGAGAGCAGAGCAATTGGGATGTATACAAAGGCTGTTTATTCCAAATATTTCGTGCACATAAATGTTTTAAACATGAGTTGGCACAGACGTTTTGCATAAAATGTGCTACAATGCAACTGCCTTTAAAAAACAAAACAAGGTTGTTCTGTTTGCCTGTTAAGTCAGCTCTCACAGTTCTTAGAAATGTCATTTATTAAATGTCACGCTAATTGCTTGTAATATCAACCCTGAAAAGCAAACCTTTGTGAGTGATCTTTCAGAAGCTTTATTTTTCTCTGTTCTGTCTGTCTGGTACATTTTGCAAAGAATAAACAAACAAGATTTACCTTTGATACAGCACCCCTTGCTTAAAAAAAGTACAGCTGACTGGTGCAGTTAAGGATATATCATGTGGGAGAACAACAACAAAAGGCTCTATTCTAAATTAATCACCTGGTTTAAAATTAATTCAGTGAAATTAATAGCCTAAGCCAGACATCATCATTCATCATCAATATTGTATAACCTGAATCCAGTTTATGAGTTGGGGGTCTAGTTCGTATATTATATTCAGATGGTTTGTCTGCTAAGATGAATGATAAATAAGAATGTAACCAAACATCCATCAGCCCCCTTTCCAGGTTTGGGAAAGCTTTGAGGCATAAATGGAATGGCCCCTTACAGTAAGTCTACCATTGTTGCGAACTGCTGCACTTCCTCATCACTGCAACCCATTTGTTTGCTCACCTCATACAGAAGGAAAAATCAAGCGAGCAGTGGCATTTTTGCTCCTGCTTCCTGCCATTCATATTGTCTGGGTTACAGCAAAGTATTGTTGAATAGGCAGGCTGCAATAAAGAATGGCAAAAAGAAGGAAGCAGCTCCAGAGGGCTCTTTCCAGTGCTCCCCCTGCACGAGTGTGGCCCCCTTGGGACTCACTATGTGCCTTACTATGGGGCCTTTTGGCACTAGCTCTGTTGCCCAGCGTCCTGTTTCATTCAATGGCCAAGCCAGTTCCCCTGAGGATTCCACACCACAGATAAGGAAGTAGGAGCAATTTCTGGTGTTGCTGCCCCAACAGTGGATATTCAGCAACATATGGAGAGGCTTGGGAAAGGAAAATGGCACATTCATTCATCCAGTGTCCTACCACCTTCGCAGTGGCCTGAGGCAAGAAGTTTGGGCCTCCTTCGTAGGTGGTGTTAATACAGTATTTGTTCCTTGACATATAGAGGTCAGAGACAGGATCCTGATTGCTTTTACTTTTCCCATGACATATTCCTCTCTCTTGGAAGCTTCCTGTGCAAGGCGATGTTGCCTTAAATTGCTTTGTGCTGTAAATGTGATAAAGAGATCTCATGTTGAACTACTTTTGAGGGAATGTAGCAATATATATAAGAAATTTCAGATCTCCAATAATATGGGCATTCACTTATTGGGTCCACACCTAAGACTCACAAAGTAATCATCATTTTAGGAAGTGCTTGTCATTGGAACCACTATAAGTTGGCAGCTGTTCTTCTGGCAAATATCTTGGTTATTATGAGAACAAAAGCAAGAGCACAAATTGTGTGACATCTTCAGTTCAAACCAATGGACAGAGGAGACTTCTTTCCACTCAATCCTTTTAGTTTAATTGATTTTCAGCTGAAATTTTCTTAGACAGTTTTGGGTGGTGTTTCTTTTCATGCACAAGGATTATGGATCAATGTACTTAAGAGCAGAGGAGAATTTCCCATACAACATTTGCAGTGATGTTATTGATTGGTGCAAATTTTGCCCCTTTCATTGCAGAATAAGTCTTGGCTTGATTGCCTGAATTATGTTGAGTGGTTTGATCTATATGCAGTTAGGTGTGGTGCACCCAAATTCTTGCCTACCCATGGCACTCTGGATAGTATATGCAATTCTGAAGGTAATCCTACTGGATACAAGCTTGTGAAGCCTGGACAAATATGGGATGATCCATCCACCTATCATGACACACTCAGAGTCTAACTCATACTGGCAGGTATGATTGTTAGACAGGGATAAATGTAAAGAATTACCGTATTTTTCACTCTATAAGACGCACTTTCCCCCCACAAACAGGTGGGGTGGAAAGTCTGTGCGTCTTATGGAGCGAAGAAAACAGATTATTTTTTCCTGTTTTCTTCTCCTAAAAATTTGGTGCGTCTTATGGAGAGGTGCGTCTTATGGAGCGAAACTTAATCCGTATTGGGCAGGTTAGGACTATTTATTTTAAATGACTTATGTGGATGTATTTGTGTGTTTGTGTGTATCTGTCAGATGCAACATCTACAGTGCAGTCCCATACATACAGTGGGGTCTTGACTTGAGAACTTAATCCGTATTGGAAGGCGGTTCTCACGTCAAAACGTTCTCAGGTCATATCTGCATTTCCCATAGGAATGCATTGAAAACCATTTGATCCGTATCTGCTCTTTTCCGTCCATAGAAACTAATGGGAAGCTGCTATTCTGCCTTCGACCACTAGAGGGGGATATTTTGTTTCTTTTTTTCTTAGGTCAAGAAAGGTTCAGGGAAGGCAGGGAAAATACAGTCCAGGCAGTACAGTACCAGGCAGTCTGAAGACTGTCTCCCAATCCACTCTCTAAACGCTGGGAGGAGTGAGGAAGCAGACAGGCACCCTTTTCACTGGCCAACAGTTAACTGAAAGTTCAAATTTTGCACTTTCCCTGCCTCCCACATGGGTTTTTTCAGTTCTTAACTCAAATCTAAGTATGTAAGTTAAGTCAATATTTTCCTATGAGAGTGGTTCTTAAGTCAAAATGTTCTTAACTCGAGCCGTTCTTAAGTCAAGACCCCACTGTATATACTGTACCCAGTCTGCCTGATTTTAATCCATGGGGTTTAGTCTCAAAAAAGTATGTATAGGATTGTACCCTTGACGGATGAAGCAGTTCAAAATCTCTTGATCTACTAAAAAAGGTGCACAGGTGCCTCCAATTATTCACATAATAGATTTTTTTAAATGAAATGTTATTCAAGAAGATTTATGCTATATAATCATTCTAGATGAAATTCTGGGGCATTGAACCTAAAAATAAGAATTCATTGCAATAAAAAAGAGTAAATCTAAGCATAAATACTAAAACTGTGAACTGGCATTAAAGATACAAAGATAGATTTTTTTTAAAAAAATCATATTTTTAATTTTTTTCCTGATGTAAAGGCATACAAATGTATGTGTAACAGTGATCATTCACAGCAAAAACATATTATACAACAGAGGTGAAATGCTTTTGGGTCCCCAAGCATTGATCAATGGATGAAAGACCTCTAAGTCCTCACAATCAGTTTTTTTTAAAAGAATAAATATCTATTAGAATTTGTTAAAGGTGACATGACATAAAATGTATTTTTCATGGATCAGTGATCTCACATCATAGACATATTTGCGAGAAACCTGAAGTTATTTCCCTTAATTTGCACTGTTCAAAAGAATAATGAATACAGCCCTATGTGCAACATATTTAGGAAACCAATATGTTGACTAGTTCACTTTTATACAGTATTTGACTTCTATACTTGTCTATCTGATGAAATGTAAACTGTCCAAATCAACCGATCACACCATAACAGTTCAAATAATTACGATTTGAACTGACACAAGATCCTCCCTCCTCATTTTTCTAATTATACAGATAAACTGGGAGCTGCTAATTCTATCTTCCAGCACGTAATTGTTTATAAGTGCCTAAAGATTAAAGCTAAATGCCCAATTAAAGAGGCATTAAACTATTGTGAGAGTTTATGGAAAGATAGCACTAATGTTGAATTAAATGGTCACCGAGGAATAAAGTGCTATGGAAATCAGTCAGCTTTCTCTCCATTCTTTATGGCCTTGCTACTTTGCCTGATGTAACACTATCAAGGATTACAGTTTTAAGCACGCAAGCTTTAATTTAGGGAAGAAATTAAACAACCATGGAATGACTTCAGTGGAGCTTTTGACAGACAGTGGTAAACAGGGATTTATTATACTTAAAAATGATTCAGCAAAACCACGCTTATATTTTCAGTTTAACATCCTGAAGTACTGAGGTCATGCAGTTTAACTGAAATGTGCTGCAACTGTTCTAATAGTTCTGATTTTAATAAAGCATCAGATTATTCTTAGGATTTTGGAACAGCAACAACAGAAAACAAGGGCTGAAAAAAATGTTAAGCAGGAATTAAATAGAAAGGGAAACACCTGCCCTTTGTACCATGTTCATGTTGCAGAGTTTTAAATTTTTGGTAAAGTTCCTATAGCTGTAGAGCAGAAGTACAGGGGATTCACAGAGCAGAACAGCTTCAAGTTTTTCCAGAATAGTCCAGTTCTCTTCTCATTAAATGGCACAGTCTTGGTAACTCACTCTTAGATGTTAATAGTAGAAAGAATAGAGAGGGAAAAAGCACAGAGCAGAGAGGCAGGGCTCTTGTTCAATTTAGATGCAGGGAAGGACTGATTGGGTAGTGCTGGATAGATTGTCACCCAGCCTGGAAAAGTCTCTTTTAGCCGCACCTAGTAGAGGCAGCATATGAGGTTGTTCACTGATTATTCTGAGACATTGGATTGGGCAACCTGTGTCTGTCTAGTTGTTTTGAAATGCTTTCATCTCTGACTACTGGCCATGTTGGCTTGTACCCAACACTGTCCAAATAGCCAGAGATTGCCTTTCCCTGATTTACATGACTAATTTACCTCAAGACGTATGGGAAGTGAGTCAAGTGGTTGCCAATAAATGTTTTGTCCCTTAGTCTGGAGACTAGCCATATTAACCTGGTTAGCCACTTTAACCTGGATTCTGGGCCCCTCACTCAGCCATTCTGCCCTTCCTTCTAGATATATTGTTGGCCAAGCTGTATGATATCAGATGCAACATGAGAAGGGTTCCTCCTTGACAGCACAAAGGTTTGCCCCCTCCTTCTAGCTTTAGGCCCTGAAATCTCCAGGAATTGGGTTGTGTTGACCTGGTAACCCTATTAGGTCTCTGGCTGCAGAGCCAGAGGTTGAGAGTTCAATTCCCCACTGTGCTTCCCTTACAGGAGTTCACTCAATGATCCACAGGGTCCCATCCAGCTCTGCCATTCTAGTATGATACTGTAATTACTGGCCCTGATCCATGTTACACTACCATATAAATAGCCAAATTCAAGACCATGGGAGTGGTTCTACTCTATGAGTATTGCCTCAACTATATCATTCATTGTCCTGGGACATCCAATAATCCCATTCACTTTCTGTGTTTAGGCAAGAAATTTAAATAGTCTTCTTTAGACCAGAAAGTACATTAGAGCCCAGAAGAGGGAGATTCTTAAGTAATGTAAGTGTCTGACTGTCACAACATGTTTATTTATTTATTTAAAATATTTATATCTCACATAAGAAGAATATTCAGAACACAAGTAAAACACAGAATAAAATACTCCCTTAAAAACATCTCCTTAGTCAACCTGTCATTTAAAGGAAAGCTGCCTGAAGAGAAAGGTTTTTGACTGTGGAAGGGGAGCAAAGATTGTGCCAGAGGTTGCTTTCACCTCTGGGGATTAGCTTGTTTTGTTTGGTGATTGGTCTTCAGAATTTTAGCATGTGATCCCTTTGAAGTGTGATTTCAGAAACACAGGATGACTGCCTCTATCATCTCTCTACAACTTTAATTAGCTTTAATGTCTTCTAATTATGGGCTATAACTGATGTCTGTTTCTTTACCTTAGATGCACCTCCTGAAGTAGTTTCTACCTTTTGATTTTCTTTGCTTTTAAGATTTGGTTTCCTTTTATTTCTCCTGAACTTGTTTGACTGTAATTTTAGCAAACATTAGTCTTTATATTTGTTCTCTTAGATATACTAATCATGCAGAATAATATTGACGTGATGGGACATGATTATTATTCTTATAGGGAGATGGGAGGGAGACAGAGAGATTGTGAAAGTCGGGATCCTGGATTAACCAGGCTCCTTTCAATCCATCTGTTGAATTCATAGGGATTGAAGAGTTCTGGGGAACACAAAATATCCATAGATGGTAACAGAGAATTATAATGGGGATTTTTTTTTCATTTACTGGGTATTGTTCTCTTCTCAGAGTTCTGAAAAAAAAAAGATTTAGTGATCTTTATTCATTCTTCCAGTAGGGTCATTTCAACAGGGGAAATGAATACATTTTAAAAATAAAAAGCTGGCAATAGTCACACTGAATTTGCATGGATACTAAAGTTCTTTCACTTGCACATGCTGCAGTGGCATCGTTCTAACCTGTGTTTATTTTTTCTAACAGCAAAAACATACCAGGACTGGAGAGGGATAATAATATCAGATACCACAACTCCTTATACAATGCTCAGCCACACAGAGCATCAAGAAAGATTAAAGAGAATAACAAAAAGACAGAGGTCCAAGGGGGTATGTAATACTGATTTTTCCCCAGTCAAAGTTGATAGGATTAAGGGGGGGGGGTCTTGGCAACAGTAAAAAAGGAAGACATTTGTTGAGAGATCTTGGTCTCTGCTCTATTTTCTTTACGTTTTGGAAATCCGTATGAAAGAATGGAGCTGTTCATAAATAGGAAGTTAGGGAATCTTGGCTTTAGATGTATAATTTCAAAAATCTATGATCTCACACGCAACATGAGAAGGGTTCCTCCCTGAACAGAGAAGGCTCTAATTTGAATCTCTAGTATCTCCAGTTTAAGAATTCTAAGTGAAATCTAATATGGCTCCTGAGAAATATCTCAGGATTAAACAGGTGTGCATGTGTGTTCTACTCCGAAGGAAGAGTCAAGACACCACTGGTTGGCCTAAAGAATTGCTCAGAGACTTGCTTGCAAAACATGATACAAAATGAACTCTCAAGAAATTAGGAGGGCTTGTGGCTTACATCTCACAATCCAATTAAGTTGGTGGCAGCCTGGTGCTTCCCCTCCTGGCCCAAGTCCTTGCTACTGCTTAATCCTTAGCTAGGATGGTCTGTTTTGGCCAGGATGAGCTGCCCGTGTTTGCAATAGGCCTTCCAATTGACCCACCTGCCAAATGTCTGGGCCTGCACCTGCTACAGTGGACCCTCTACTTACAGAATTAATCCGTATTGGAACGGTGGCTGCAAGTTGAAAAGTCTGTAGGTCGAATCTCCATTGACCTACAATGCATTGAAAACCGATTAATCCCATAACTGGCAGTTTTTATTCTATTTTTGTTCCATTTTGGTTATTTTCTGGTCTGTAAGTCGATTCTCCGGCTGCAAGTCGAATCTAAATTTTGCGGCCAGAGAAGTCTGTAACTCGAAAAGTCTGTAAGTCGAGCCGTCTGTAAGTCGAGGGTCCACTGTACTCCATTCTTTCTGTATCCACCAAACTACAGTATGACAAAACAAGCAACAAACCAAGAAGCACATAAAGCAGACATTACTGATTTCCAAACTGACCATATAAATTGGCCAGTGATATGCCCAAGCGAAGGTATGAAAACATGCTTCAAATAGTTTCCTATCTTGAATTAGTTTTTTGTGGCTTGAAAACAAGCCATGTGCCTAAGTAAAGCTGATGTAATAAAACAGGGTGAGCAATATGGGGCCCATGGGCTGCATGTAATCCTCAGGGATCCAAATCCTCAGGGTTTCTATTACCATTGGGGCTCCTATAGTTTACACTGCAAAACTGCTTGAAAGAATTGCTAGAGAAGTCCCTTTGTGTCCTCTGGGGTAGTGGTTCCCAGCCTTAGGTAACCCAGGTCTTCTATTACCATTGGGGCTCCTATAGTCTACACTGCAAAACTGCTTGAAAGAATGGCTAGAGAAGTCCCTTTGTGTCCTCTAGGGTAGTGGTTCCCGGCCTTAAGTAACCCAGGTGTTCTTGGATTGCAGCTCCCAGAAACCCAAGGCAGCACAACTTAGTGGCCAAGGCTTCTTGGAGTTGCAGTCCAAGAACACCTGGGTTACCCAGGTTTGGGAACTACTGCTCTTAGGGGACACAGGGGCAATTGTGCAGTATTTTTGAAGTCCCCCAGAACTCCTGGGCCCTTGATCTTAGATAATCTTTTTTTAAAATTTGCCACTACAGAGCAAGATGGGGCTTCTTCAGTTAACCCCTCTCCATTTTTGTAAGAAAAGAAATTGGGGTGAGGCTTGTGGGAATTGTCTGGAAGTTGACATATGTGGCTCCAGGACTTCTGTAGATGATTAACCCAAGCTCCAAAAAGTGTACAGTATGTGTGTGTTGTGCTGGTGATATGTCCTGAAATAAAATGCCTGGAACTATGTGTGAGCTGCTCCTGTACAGGGTGGCCTACACCAAATCTCACAAGGTGCAATTTCCACATCTTGCAAGATTTCTGTGCAAGATTTGGGCTAAGCACGGATTTCACAATACTGTACCAGGGATTCCTGCCATTATGAAATTGAAGCTAAGCACCGATTTCACAATACCAGGGATTCCTGCCATTATGAAATTGAAATATCCAGCAGCACTGGGTACAGGTGACAACTTGTTGCATGGGAGAGCTGGGTGCCAACCCTCCATGTGGCGCAATATCTCCTCTCTGTAGAAGTGTGGTTGGGGTGCCCTTCTTCCTAACGGGGAAAAATGGTAACTTCAAATCTAGGGATTTTCATAACATTAATCCCATCATAGTATGCTGCAGTTTTAATATAGACTGGAGCCTGTCTTCTGTGTCTGATGCTCTCTGCATAAAAAGGCCAGAATGCATTATTAATTGCATTTTTTACCTATTTTGGCCCACAGATTATGTGTGGTGGGACAGCTCAGAGAGCTGCTGCTCATAGGATACATTTTTGGGGTAGGTAGGCCAACTGTCTGTGTACAAGTTAGCTTCTAATGTTCTAAATATAGGGATAGTATAATAATGTATTTAAGGCTAAAACGTAAGAACAGCAGAGATTCCAAGAATGCAATGTAATTAGGAAGAAGTGAGTTTGCTAGCCAGCCTTAGATAATTAACCATTGCAATTGCAATTAATTTTTTGAAAAATAATTTTTCACAGTTATCTAATGAGATACTGTACTTCCTATACAGTTGATGTAAAATCTGTGCATTCAGTAGACAGTGCATGTAATAACAGCATAATATGTGTGCAGTCAGTCTATTAAATAATGGATGTCAGGCACTTCCTGATTTGGAATTATTTAAATAAAGCTAAAGAATTTTTAAGTATAAGCTCATACATGAGGAGAATAGAGAGGAAAGAGTGTACTAGCTTTGCACCCTCCCTTACAATTTTCATTGCCCCTCTGTATAATGACAATATCTACCTCTGTCTCTAGAGGCTTTGCTTGAGATTTTCAGAACCATGGAACAAACAAGTTTCTAAAATTCTGAGGAATCCTCCATGGGTAGAGAATGCTGTGCTTTGCAAACAGAAACCCACCACACACAGTATATGTAGAGGCTGCTGAGAGAAGGGTGGGAGGATACACAGGTAAAGAATATTTTCTCCACTCCCATCTTCATGTGTAGAGTTTATACTCCTATTCTAGAAAAGGTCTGAATAGGGCTTGCAAAACAGTAGACTCAACCTTAATCATAGAATCATTATATTGGAAGGCCATTGAATCCAACTGCCTGCTCAATGTAGGAATCCAAATCAGAGCAGATCTGACAGATGCTTATCCAATTTTCTCTTGAATGCCTCCAGAGTTGGAGCACTCGCCACCTCCAAAGGTAATTGGTTCCACTATTGTACTGCTCTAACAGTTAAGACGTTTTTCCTGATATTCATCCTCAATCTGGCTTCCTGTACCTTGAGGCCATTATGACATATCCTGCACTCTGGGATGATCTGAGAATAGCTCCTGCTCCTCTTTTCTATGATTAACTAATGAAATTGCCCATGCAGTTTAGGGAGCCCGGCTCTTACCTCTTTCATAGATACAGCATTTCTTAATGCCCATGCTAATTTTTCCAATTCTACAACTAAATGAGATTAAATAACTTTAAAATCTCAGGTCATTAAATGTTAAGTATCAGTGATACTGTCTTGATGTTAGCTCTAGTTAAAGGGCCTTGCCCTTTGAATGGAACAGAAATTAGAATAACTTATTTCTCTGATTAACGTCATAACTATAATTAGAGAAACACATGGCCATGATTGTAAATTTGGAGAGGCACCTCTCACAGAGTGGATAGTTAACTTTTGAGCCCTTAAGTAATTATTTAAGCAAACTCTGTTTAAGAGATAACAACTTCTCTCCTGTAGAAACAAAGTCAGTTCATTGCTACAGAGCATTTAACACCTTATCTCTCTGAGGTTGTTATCTCTCTGGCTGAATTTGTGGAAATAGAACCTAATCATTCAGCTGCAAAGGGCTATTCACTACTTATTTACATAAGTATGTGTCTAGCTTGGTTTAGAGAAGTAAGCTCTAAATAGGCAAAAGGGATTTATTATCAAGTGTTGTAGACTGGCATCTTATTCTACCCTAGAAAGTATTGGAGAGGGAGACTAAATAAATATTCCTAATTGAGTTTCCAGTATTTTTTGTCTCAGAATGCCATTTTATTTCTAGGATTTTTTTTAAAAAAATGTTGGTGTAGGTCTCTCCATTCCATGGGATTTTGTGGCACATTAAGTTGAACTAACACTGCACAGCTTCATTCAAGGTCCTCCAGACAATGCTGGACTGCTTCCGACTGTACGTATGCAGAAGAGGAGATATCATCCACCTCCCAGCATAGGAATCAATGGGGTAATTGGGGTCAAGGAGTGGATGCCCAACCCAAGCCACCTTCAGCCTTCCAGCCTTATAAGATTTGGCTCGGGGAGCCTCCCTTTGCTATATTGAAATTTAAAATATGTGAAATTCTTCACATTTGTGATAAAACAGGCTATATTGACACATTGAAACAAACTGTATAGAAACTGATGCTAATTCACCACTTGGAGCTGACAATCGGGTCACATTGGAATAAGCGTATTAATGCAGCCTCTTAAGGGTTACATTGAGTATGTTGACGTGCTGCCTTTACCATCCCCCCCCCAATTTTTGGCTCTGTGAGTCACTTAGGGAACAGGAAATTTCCAAATGTGAAGTAATGCAAGATTGAAAGCAATGGCACGTTACAATTTGATAGCAATTGTTATAGTATTTGTTATCAGAAGAATCACTAGTAGTTACTGCTGGCTTTTAAAATGTCCTTACAGGTTTAAATTACGGTAATGTTTCTTCACACATTCTTCAACTAAGAATAGTTGAATGGCATCTCATGGCAAGAAAAAAGTGTTTGCTTGATTTTTTCCCCCAGACTGTAGCAAAAATGTGGTTATAGTTTGGAAGCTTAAGGTCTGATTCATGTATAACATATAACAGGTACCTGCTGTTTTTCTACAAAGAACACAGTTTCTATCTTATCTATCTCTTGAATCCTGTCAAGAATTGCCAATGTGCTCTAGGGCAGCCATTCTCACCTTTTTTGGCCATGACCATAAACATGTTAGAAAAGAAATAAAGGCTGAATCAGGATTGTATAAGTCACATTATGAACCTTATAATGTGGTATGCAAACAATTGATTCTAGTCTATGGCCCCCTTCAAATGTGCCCTCCCTCCTCCCCTGGAGGCCATATGAGGCCACAGTTGAGAATGGCTGATCCAGGGTACTCCCCTTTTCTTTCTTTTTTGTCCATTCAGCTGTATTAGAGATCTGTCAAGGAGAATGATAATACTAAGCTAATGATTTAATTAGCTTCTTTCTTCCTAGATGTTGCTTCTGCAAAGTAGCAAGTCAGAAAGGCATGGACAAGAGTTCAAGAAGGATGGAAATAAGCGTTATGGCAGGTGATGTCAATTATTTTTGTAAAAACATGTGACTAGTGTTATGTTTGGATTGTTTTCCTTCTTATATAACAAAAACGCTAGCATATACATTTGAAAAACAAAAGAACAGGATGAAAAAAAAATAACAGGTACAGGCTGGAAGTGTTTCAGAGGAGCATTTGAAGTGTGGTCTGATTTGGTGCCATACAAAGTTTCTGCACTTGCAAGCAGAGCTTGGAAAAGTTACATTTCTGAACTACATAACCCATCCTATTCCCCAATCACCATGTTCACTGATTTAAAAAACTAACGTTTTCAGGCTCTGCTTATAATGGATCCTTGCTCTGGCCTATAAATGGTCCTAGCATTTTGAACAGACAGTAGGCTGGAGTAGCACGCTGTGGTACAACAGTGACAGGCCCTTCATCCTCCCTTAGGATATGCCAACACTTGAAGTCCATGGAATCCCTACCTGAGGGTCAAACTGGATGTGTTGCTTTTAATGATAGCTTGCAATTTGTTGACACTCCCTGGACACTTCTTCTTGTGATTTTGATTGTGCATGAAGTTTCTGAAGCCTCTGCAGAATAAACTTATTTTTGTTCTATTCATCATTCCTGTAGCTCTGTTTTTGAACTATAAAACACTACATGTTGCCAGAAAGGGAGAATAAGGATTGCAATGAATTAACTGGCAGCAGTTTTCTGTCTGTACAGCTAAAAGCAGATGACAAGAAATTGCAAGAGTTACTCTTGGAGAAAGCCATGGGACAATCAGAGAACTGGGAAAAATTAGACAAAGGTTTGAACTCTAGCTGTTATCAATAGGGACAGATGAGAAAACTGAGAAAATCAAACCCTCAATTTTGTTTTGGTCATTCTGAATATTTATAAATATTCTTTGTTTATGTTGGAAGCAATCTAGTGGTGCTTCTGGAGTGGATAGATCAACTGACAGGGATGCTTTCATTGCCCAGGCGATGCCCAAATGTACTCTCAGTCCTCACATTTTTCAAGGAGGCTCCTTCTGGACTTGATGATCCATATGATCCTTCCAGCTCTGCAATTCTATGATGATGGCAGCAATGGTTTTGGGTCGTCTAATATTTATAATAAGAAGAACTATCATGAAAACTTTGAAAGAAGTGAGTTTTCCACACACGTGAAAAAAGCAGACCAAGCGTTGGGCAAATATGTAACTGAATTCAAACAGCTGAGTCAGAGACTTGAAATTTTGGTGACTTGAAGGAGTCTCTAATAAAGGAAAAGAGTTTTATGTGGTATTAGAGATTATGTCATCAGGGAGTAGCTGGTTCATGAAAGAATCCATCTCTAGGTGAAGATGTGCAGATGTGCAGGGTCTCTTAAACTGTGACAATGAAGGCCAAAGAGCTGAATTCAGCAGATGGTGTTTTACATGCTTCCAGTGAGCAGGGACCAGAATATAAACAAGGCAGGTCCAAAAGGAGAACAATTTTCCTCACAAGCAAACGAAGGGGGGGGGAATTCAAAAGAACTAAGAATGCAATGCGTGGAATAGATCATGGTCCACAACCCTGTCATGCATTTAAGAAACTGTTTTAACCTTTTTGCAAAATGCTGCCAAATCAAAGCAGAAACAAGTCAGCAGAGCAATACTGAAAACGCTTCAGATCATGAATTTTATACTGATGTAGTGAAAGCAAGAAAAACTGACAAAAGAGACCGGATCCTTTCTCCATAGATGAATGAATGATTTACCCCCATTTAAACTGGACAGGGGTCATAAATGTTAGCATTCTATCTGGAAAGGATTATAAACATTTGCTATCAGGCCCAAACTGGGACCAGCAAATAATAAAGTTACTTATTATTATGGAAAACATATCCAGCACTGGGGAGATGAGTTTCTAGTGTTAGGTATAAAAAAATACACATATGAGCTTCTGTTCCTTATTGTATATAAAAATGTGACCCAGCAGTGCCTCCATTTATTCACCCATGCAGGAAAGTACCATTTGTTTTTTCAAATAGATTTAAAACTGAGCTAGATGGGATGGTTGCTGCTCATGTAGAGAAAGCAAGAACATCTTCTAACCATGTTGAGGGTTCTGGATAAAACCACAAGAATATGCTTTGGCACTAATGGGGTGGTATATAAATTAAAGTACCATCTGTCTGTCTGTCTGTCTGTCTGTCTGTCTGTCTGTCTGTCTGTCTGTCTGTCTGTCTGTCTAATTTGCACATTTTACCATTATGAAATTCCTTCTAATGTTTAGCCAATATCTCCTCCTTGAAGTTTTCTTTCATTGGTTCTAGTCCTACTCTCTGGAGCCTTACAAAACAAGCCAGTTGAATCTTGTGAGGCAGCTTTGCAGATGTTTAAAATGTGCCAATCTAGACTCCTGATATTTTTCTCTTCTCCAGGTTAAGCATACCCCCCCTCAACCATTAGTTGCTTGGTTGAAGCAACCAATGAGGTCTTAGTTGACCTCATCTGAATGAACTCTGATTTCTCAAAGACCTTCTTAAAATGTTGACCCCAGGATTGGATGGTAGATTTAGTTTAACCAGAACAAAACAGAAATGGACGATTACTTCTGACAGAATACTGAAAAAGTACCTTTTTTGGACCATAATTGGCCACACTGACTAGGAGGTTCCTGGAGACAGGAGTCCAAAAACAAGTAACTTTCTTAAACTCTGACTTCTCATACTCTGGGTGTAATGTTTTTGTTAGTGGTCTAAGATTTCATTAGCTTTTAAGTATCTGTACGAGGCAGATTATGCTTTATTAGCATGTTTAAATTTCGTGCTTCAGAATGGACATATATCTTCCTAATTTCAAAAGTACAGGGGGTGGGGATCAGCCTATTTGTTGCTGAAAGTATTATTGGCTACCCCTTCCCCCATAACATTGCCCTATTCCAGATTGGCATCTTCTGCCAACAGTGAAACCTGGGCTTTGTTTTGTTTGGTCTTTTGTTAAGAAAGCACCACGTTGCTCATATAATGTGTAGTTCGGTAATAAAAGAGCCATCTTAACAGCTTGGTTTTTACTGGGTTTGATGGTATTGGGAATGAGACTGAAAACAGATATTAGATCTTGGAACCCAGCAACCCCCCCAAGCTATGTTGAAATTGCCACTGTGATTTCTTCCTCTTCAATGGAATCACTTGTTGAATCTCTGTCATTAGCAAGGATCGTGAACGGTTAGGCAAGAGGAGTGTTTGCCTTACATAGATTGAAGAAGGCAATAAAAGGGATTGGGGCAGATCATATAACCAAAGGCTTTATAATAATCTGGCACATTCTATCATCTTATATCCAAGGTAACCCACTGGAAACATGCATCTAGCAGGCTATATGGTATGTCTCACTCCCCCACCCCCATTTAGTGCAGCTTTACTCCTCCAAATGTTGCATCCTTGTCCAGCACAAATTACATGAATTTCTTTGCTGTCCCATTGCAGTTCATAAATAGCTCACCTATTCTTTGTTCAAGTTCTCCAACAGTTTGCTGCTAATCCTCAACAGATTAATATGCTTTCAGCAATAATCCTTTCATCTGCTGAAGTTCAAAGATGCTTAATCACTGAAGTTAATGCTTGACAGATTTTCCAGTAAAATGGGACCATCTTTCATTGTGGATAGAACAGTTTAAATATTCTTTACTATTTGTATGTCTCCTAATAGCTTTACATCTAGGCTAATGACAACCTGTATTAGGTGTAGCCATCAGATTTTATGTTGTGTGATGTAAGGAAACTAAGGGAAGTGTAGGTATGGGTAGCTGATACTTGGTATATAAGCCATTAGAGTGTGCTCTTCCATGTTTTTTGACTGCAATTTTGAAAATTCTCCAAGAATTCTAGCAACTGCTGTCACCTGTAGATTTTACTTCCCTAGAGAAGAGTTTATGAGTTATTCATCTGCACCATCAGCTTCTCTAGCCTTTACTTATTGTTCTTGATTTTTTTTAAAAAAAACAGTTGTGGTGTTTCTTGGGAGTCATATTTGCACTGCTCATTCTGCTCTCTAAAGAGTGCCTCTTGAAGAACTACGACTCCCAGAAAATACCTGGGTGGATCCCCTCAACAAATCAGTATCAGAAAGTAGAAGCCAAGGAAACTGATGGTGAAGGAATACCCCCCCCCCTTAGAGGGGTGAACCCTACAGGTAGACTGGTTTGGGTCTGAGGGCTGCCAGTCCTGGAATATTTTTGACAATTTTGGGAATTGCAGTCCAAAAACATAAACACCCACAACTCACCATGGCAAGAGAACTTTGCTTGCCAGGGAAGCCCATTCTCCTATTTCACTTTTCTTGAGTGTGTTAGTTACTCCTCAAAGTGAACCCACAAATGAAGAAAAAATGAACAAGAGGAGAATGGTGTACTGTAAACATAAGGTAATTACCAGGCTGACTTCCTTATACTATCTGCCCTTCCTGTATATTTTTCTCCACAAAAGGGGCTTGCTTCCTTGCAAGTCTGTAGAATATTGCAGGCCTAGCTTTCCACATTTTCCTAGCTCATTACAGAGAGAAGAAAACATACAAAACTTCCATCATATAAGGGAAGTTCTGTCAGCTTCCATTTTTGCCCTGAAGTTAGTAGTATGGTGTTTTTGGTTTGCCTTTGGGTAGGGTTACACTAATAAAATAAATTGGGAGATGATCATTTTTAAAATTGGCTTAAACTAAGTCACATGGCAGTTATGTGGTTTTGGGGTCAGTTGTGCATTCTCTTTGGACAACTTCTAATCCTTTTTAAAAGTGTGCTATATATTGGTGGAGGGGGCTACATTGGCTTTTACAATCATTCCATTTGAGTCTTTGTCCTGCACTTGCCCACCCTCACACTGGCTGCCTCCCACAGTCACTCTCTGGTGCTGCTGTAGATTATTATTAATATTTATTTCTACCAAGTGAGATAGCGATAGTCTGACATGACAAGGGGAGAAAAAAAAACAACAACCCAGATTGGAATGCAAGTTTTCACTGGGGCCCAACACACTCCCACCAAGGTAGTGAGAGAGATA